AGAGGGACGCGGAGGAGCACGAGGGCGGCGGCGGCGGCAGGAGCCTGGCGGGCGGCGAGGCGCCGGCGGCGGCCAAGGGGCATCAGTGCCACCGCTGCCCTCAGCCGCCGCAGGAGCAGCAACAGCTCAACGGATTGATCAGCCCTGAATTGCGGCACCTCCGGGCGGCAGCTTCCCTCAAGAGCAAGGTCCTGAGTGCGGCCGAGGCGGCCGCGACCACGGCCACCCCCGACGGGGGCTCCAGAGCGACTGCAACAAAAGGAACCGGGGTACACTCGGGCGAGAGGCCCCCTCACTCCCTCCTCAATAATGCAAGAACTGCTCTCCCAAGCCCGGCAGAGGCAGCGGCGGCGAGCGGTACCGCGGCGGCCCGCAATGGACTGGCCGAGGGCACCGAGCAGGAGGAGGAGGAAGACGAGCAGGGGCGGCTGGGGGCTTTCTGACCGCAGGCTGCAGTTTAAGAAGCCCCTCGGGCCGGGAGGTTGAGCCTGGGGAGGATCGGACGATACGATATGTCCGATATGAATCCGAGCTACAAATGCCCGATATCATGAGACTGATCACCAAAGATCTGTCTGAACCCTACTCCATTTATACCTATAGATATTTTATCCACAACTGGCCACAGCTGTGCTTCTTGGTAAGTGGATAGAACTGAAAAGAGGGTGAACCCAGCCGAGATCCAGGCCGTGCAGGGCAGGGCGTGTGAGGGTTAGAGTGTGGGAGTAGATGTATCCTCCTGCATTTCATAGTACAGTTACTTGAGCAAGTACATGAACACTGTTTGAAGCTAAGACTTCTTGATCTGGGTTAACTTGTTACTGATGGAAGTGCAGCAAGCCTGTGTGATGCATGTTCCGCAGAAGGGTTCTGTGTCCTGTTTACATTAGCTTATAATCACGTTTACCCGTCTTTAATTACTCTCCCTCATCCTCAAAGCACTTTGCAATCATTTAATTTGAACATGGTTCTGTTCACATACAGGCCTTATTAATCTCTCAATTACAGCCATAATCAGGGAAGAGTGTATGTATAAACATGTTTTGGTGAACATGATTGTCAGTAAACTTGCTGTGGCCACATTGGAGAATTAAATCTTAGAAGCATGTTCAGTAATTATGGAGATTGTTTCCTTTTACTTTGACAGGACAATTAACAGTTGTAGCTAGCCTGCTTTCTGGTGCTCCATTGCAAAAGGCGCTGCTAACACTTCTGGTGGCTGAAACTTGAACAAAATACGATTTTGTGAAATGTAGGAAACTTATGTGTGAAATTGTTACTAATCTGATTTTTTTTTTAAGAAACTGCTCATAGATCTGCTTAAATAGTAATAATGTTGGCTTGTGTGGGGTTTGACAAAAATATTTATATGTAAGCAAAGAAGATTAGGTATGGGATAAGCTGAATAATTTTTTTAACTTACATGGTATTGACATTACCTTTAACTTTTTCTGAATAACACTGGCCAATTTCAGCTTGTATGAAACCTTTAACTTAAATATTGACTGTGGGTATGTGTTTTGTGTGATGTATTCTCAAACATATTGTTTCCCTTGAATTTTGCTAAAGAAAGGTGCCGTGTTTTTAAGGGATAGTTTATGATATGTGAAGGGAGAAGCCATTATTATTATTATTTATTGTTTTAGCATTGACTTAGTTGCACATAGTAATTCCCTGGAAGACATTTTAATAATACCTTAAAAATTAGGGTTTGTTTGTTTGTTTGTTTTACTTTTATAGCTTAATGGTAGCCTGGAAATATAACCTGGGTATTGTAGATAATGGTAGTTCTGCTGGTTTTTTTTTTTTTTTGGTTAACTTTGTCTGAACTTCAATTTAGTAGTTTGAACTATGGGTACTATTTTATATTCTAGAAAACTGTTCTGTCAGTGTTCTAAGCTCATATCAAAATAGATAGTTCTAAGACATGTCAATGAGTATGAGAAAATGACTTACAACATTATTATGTTATATCAAATACCATTGTTATTGCTAAACATTGTAGACTGATTTAATTGTAAGTTACCCAACTGAGTCACATTTTAAATTGAAATAGATGTTCTTCTGTCAGTTCCAGAGAATACTGTATATATGATATTTAGTCTACTCTTGAGTCCTGATACTTCCTAGACATTTCTCAACTTACTTGCCATTTTAGACTCTGATAAACTTACTATCAGTAAATTTTAGTCTTGATTTACAAAGATTTCTCTAAATTCACCAGCTAATTTGTACTTTAATCTTTAATAGCCCAAGCTTAAATTCTGAATATCTAGAGATTAAGATATGCACAAGTGGTTAACCTGTAAGATTGACTAGTGCAAGTATGAATCTAGAGATATTGAATAATAAAAGAATAGTTACAAATCATAAGTGCCCATTCAGAACTGGGACCTTTATATTTGTATACTCATTTGAATTTTACCTAAGGACTAACTTTTAAAAAATATGATTGTGCGTTGTTTTTTTTTTTTTTTTTAGAGAGGTTTTCACTATAGGGCGCGTGCGCTTGCCAGACAGACAGAGAGAGACATAGAGACAGAAAGCGAGAAATCACCCCCCAGAGGGGATGGTCATGCCGCAATCTCTTCGCCTCTGTTCTCCTCTCGGGATCCTGGGCACGCACGCACACGCGTGCCCGGCGTGAGTTTTAAGCCACCGGGTCCGGGACATGAACCGCGGTCGACTACATGGGAGTCCAGCGACATAGCCATTACGCTAACTGCTGGTTCCCTGATTGTGTGTTTTTTAAATAATCATATCATTTTAGAACTGAAAGGAATCCTCAAGATAATGTAGTCCAACTTTGATATATTCTTTTTTTTTTCTTTTTAAATGAAAACAGTTAAAAGACCAGAGTGATTTAAAATGTTTAAAATCTCTAGATAGTTCATGATGGAGAGGTAAAGCAAAAATCCAGGTCTTTTGGCTTCTTTTTTACAATAACAAGTAAGAACCTAGAAAATAACATACTATTAACCCATTCACTGAGCTCATTGTATCACCAAGTTATATTTACTAAAGGGGAGCTGTCTTTATGAACATCAATCTCAAGAGATTAGAAACTCCAAATGTTTGGTTTATATGGAGAACCTGTAATCAGTCAAGTGGGATATTTGGGGCTGAACCCTATAAGACGGTCAATATTCAGTTGATTAACAAAAATTACAGTTTATGATTTTTTTCTAATGACTGTAATAGATATAAAAATAGAGTATGATACAAATCTATGGCACTGTCAATTAATTTGTACTTAACTGTTTTATTTTTACTTCTTTTGAGTTCATAGTATTTTTGGTTACTGGTGCCTTTATGAAGTTCTTAAACTTACTACCAGCAATGTAATATAGTACTTATGTTTATTCTAAATTTAACTTTCTGGCTTCCTCCAGTTTTCCATTTGTAGTGTTCTAGATTTGGAAAACTCTATTTCACACAATTTATGTTTTTCATAGTTTTATAGGCTAAAAAACATTTGGCTGTATAGAGTTAAATCTTAAAATTGCCAGAGGTTTTTCAGTTCCCATGCTTGAAAAAACATTTTATAGAAAGAGTTCCAAATGTATGAGGGTACTTCAAAAAAGTTGTGGAAAAATGGAATTAAAATACTGGATTATGTTGGTGCAAAAAAACCTTCTGAAGTCCGAACAGAATTTTTTGAAAATATCTATTTTCCATGAACTTTTTGAAGATCATATACAGAAATTTCTTCTTTCTTTCTTTCTTTCTTTCTTTCTTTCTTTCTTTCTTTCTTTCTTTCTTTTTATGAAAGGTTTTTGCTTTTGCCATAGGGTCCATATGCTTGTATATGAGAGACAGAGATTCAGTGAGAGGGAAAGTGAGAAATCACCCACCCCCTGGGGAAGCGGCCATGCCTCAATCCCTTCTCCATTCAACTCTTGGGATTTTGGGCACGCATGTGCACATACCCAGCATGATTTTCAAGCCACCAGGTCTGGGACTCAAACCACCTCATCCATGTGGGAGTCCACCACCTTAACTGCTATGCCACCTGCTGGCCACTGTAAAATTTTATTTGGAAACATTGGAAAGCAGTTTAGTGACTCTTCTAAGTATATATATTCATCAGTTTATCAGGAAAAAAAAAAATCAGCATTGGCGACTAAATACTATCCATATCTTCTTTTTCTCTTTTTTTGTGATAGCACTTGTGGGGAAGGGGAAGTTTTGTCACACTGTTTTCCCTCCACCAGACCTCCAGGTCTTCAGGTTGCTACCAGTTGCATTTCCAGGTCAACCTGGGGATCTGAACCTGTAATTAGCCATGTACCTTTCAGCATTGCAGTTCAGTTTGCTCCTAACTGCACCACCAAGATGGGTCCCCATATCTTAATAATAATGTGTCAAATATTGGACTTTTATTTTTAGATTACATAACAACTTGATTTTGTTTCTGTGGATTCTGAATTAAGAAATCAACATAGTCTTAATGAGTTAATATTTGCTTATTACTTCCATGGTCATAGGAAAAAGATTTATTTGAAATTCCTGTCCACTTTGAAATACTATTTGGTTGTATTGTGTCTAGTAGTTTTAATTTTTCCTTTTTTTTGGGATGGCTTTACTAACTGCTTAGTGTAGCTGTCTTATGGTTTATATCATATTTTTATTTGGTTTTCATGTCATATGAGCCTAGCTTATGAAGTCAGGTCAGATATTTTTCCTGGCTCTTAAATGTGCTGTTTGGCAGGTGGCATAGTGGTTAAGGCTGGGCTCCCACATGGATGACAGTGGTTTGAGTCCCGGATCTAGCAGCTTAACACTCTAGCCAGGCACATGTACTTGCGTTCCCAAAATCTCAAGAGGAGAATGAAGGAGAAGGAATTGTGGTGTGGCCATCCCTCCTAGAGAGAGATTTCTCATTTTTTCTCTGTCTCTGGTGAGCATACACGCCCTGTAGCAAAAATCTCTCTTAAAAGAAAAATGTGCCATTTGGTCTGTGATGATTGTTTATGTATACACAAATGTATATATTTAAAGTGAGTTATTTTCAAATCGAAAAATACTCTCAGAGTTGTTCAGTTAGGCAACTTTTGTGTATATTTTAGGTTTTCATCCAGAAAAAAATTTAAGTTTTCAAAAGAATTAAAAAAAAAGATTGATTTACTATTAATGGAAAAGATTGGGAATAATGATTTCAGAGGTTTATTTGCCAAAAATAGTTTTTGGAATGTATGATAAAACAAATGAATTGGTGTGGATTGTTGAATTTAATATCCTTTCAAGAGGATTTTTCTGACCTAGTTTAAGTTTGCGTGAAATGGATTAGAATTATCTTGCCTGAAAGATTTTTAAAGTCTTTTCTTTTTTTTAAAAGGGGCTTTTTAATCAATTTACAGAGTGACAGATGAAAAAATGTTACAACAAATTCAATTTAAAATATGTATTAAGAATGCATTAGACTTCATTTTTTAACCCATTTCTGATTTTTGTACTTGTTAAAATAGTTTCTTCTGGAAAGTTAATTTACAAAAAGCAAGTAATTTTTGCTTGTGTATTATTAAACAGGTAGAGATATTGCCCTATTACTGATCAAAATACACAATTACTAGATTTTTTTTTATTAGTGATGGAATTTTTGAAAAACATTTTCAGTGGTGATATTGGAGTCTTAATGAAAGTGGGGGTGATGGCATTTATATTTCATGTAGTCTTCAACATTCTGGAAAGATATATGTTTTCATTAAAATAGAATACTCTGTAAAATCATTATAATAAATTGAGCTTTGCTTTAATACAAAGCTCTGATTTTGAACCATACATATACTCAAGAGATTTGTATTACACTGTCAGTATCCTAAAAATGAGACCATCGTGTATTTACACATTAACAAAAACCTCTTGGATATGATTTAAGCTAATACTTTTTTTTTCTTTTTTTAAATAATTATTTTATTTAACATTATTTATTTTAATTTGACCAGAGAGGGACAGAGTGTGAGAGAGAGAGAGAGAGAGAGAGAGAGAGAG